CAGCTGTTGCAGAGCCGTGTTCTTTCTAGAAGGTAATTTTTGCACTTCTGACGTTGGCAACCATCTGCTGAAGCTCCATTTCTGTGTGTCCAAAGCTGAAGGGTAGATGGAGCGATCTGAGGGTGCTGCTGTTGTGAGCTTCAGAAAATGCAACTACTGTTCAAAAAGACCCCACCTGAGGGAGGCTGGAAAGTAGGTGTCTGCATAGTGCATTCCTTTGGACTCCTGAATCCAAGATTCTTGCTTAATTAAACTTCTGACCAAAATACTTTACAGACCTATTAATTATGATAGAAAAAACTATCGCTTACCTACCTGAGATAATTCTTAGAATATAAAAACTTGACATAAAATTGTCTCATAAAAATATTTTCAGAAGGCTGATTTTGCATTGAGTAATGTTCACACTTCTCTGTGTTTAATTTAGGAATTTGTATTGAATTGTCTCTCAGAGGCGGGGACATAAAGTTCTTAAGAGCTCTTTGCAAGTGCTTATTTGGAGTTCATTGCTGTCAGGTGCTCAGTTTCAGGTCCAGAGTTGAAATTGCAAAGCACAGTGGTGCTGGGAGGAGGGAGATGAGTGTCACTTAGGTGTATTTGAATCTTTCAATCCAAATTTCTTTGGATTTAATTGTTCCTTAAGTACTGATTGTGTTACAAGTCCCTGTGCCTCTATTTGACGACCTACAATTACAAGTCAAAGAATCTTTCCCTAAACTGAGAGGAAGCTTGCGTGATATCTGCTCTACTCTGCTGCCTTCTCTCCCCAAGAATCTTAAATTACAACCACGGTTTGGAGTAAAATGATGTAAAACCTTAAAGCTGAAGCTTAGAAACTTTTGGCTGCCAGTAAACTTCTGAGTTTATTCAGGGGCTGCAATGAGAATCCCGGCTGTACTGGAATATTCTCTTGTTATTTTTCTGCCACTTCCCATATCACACAGGACATAACTCTGGTTTGAATTACAGCACCACTTATTGACATGAAGCAGGCTGTTTTGACAGTGATTATTTTTGGCTTTAAGTGTTGTTCAGCTGTTCTCCTAGAGAAACTGTGACAAAATTCCTGTTAGAACCTTGTTTGTTATTTCTTAATGTGCACGTGTTGCTATTCTGTAAATTTTTTCCTGTTGATTGTTTAAATAAGTGAGAAAGTAAGGAAACTGCCTGACCCAAAAGGTGAAGATGAAAATCTGGGTCTGTATCAATTGCATCTTAACTGAAACTTTCATCCTTCTTTCGTATCTTCCAGAGGACAGAAATAATTAAGTGCAATATTGAAGGAGGGAACACAGAGTTGAGCCGCGTGCTCTCATGTAACTCATCCATGGTGTGTGGTGATTTGTACAAGTTAGCAATACTGTTACTAACCATGCTTGTTCCAAGCAGTCTTTGTTTACAGTGGGTTGATTATATTGCCTAATGTGCATTTGGGTTTTGACAGAAACAGCGGAGTGGTGCAGGCAGATGTCAGGGGTGTCGTCCAGTCGCTGGTTTATAGGACGTTCCTGACTTCACTGGCATGTAGCATACGTTCTGAAATGCTGCGTTTGCTACAAAGATGTGAGTTGCTGATTACTAAATCAGTGTTTAAGATCATTGGTTTTTTTATATCATAAATATGATATTATTGTCTAATTAAACTAAATACCTATGTAATACTGGGTTGTTTTGGTTTATTTTTCCTTCTTGTACAGACATTTCTTTATATCTGGCTAGAGGTTTGTTAGGGCATACTTAACTGTTTCTCTGTCTTTTTGTCACTTTATTATCTTCCCTGCTACTTCTCCATCCACAGAACCCTACAGATACCCTGTGGCTACAAGCTGCTGCAATTTTCTTGGGCAACTTGGCCACACAGAGCATGGTCTCATGTTATCACTGTGATGTTGTGGTGGACATCATCTCTGCAGAAAGGACAATGTATGTCAGTCCATTGTGCTCATTCACTGTGAAGGAAAGATGGTTTTCATTCCGTGTTCTGAGACAGGATGAGTGCAATTTTGGTTCCAGATTGATGTTCAGGAGCACATTTAGAAATGGTTTTTATTTTTTTGCCCTTCTAAATGAGAAGTCTGAAATGTTTTTGAAGTATGGACTGCATAGCTGGATTTCAGAGCTATCTCTGATTTTAATGAACAGCAGGGAGTGATTGTGAAATAGTCAAAAGGTTGTTGTTTAAAAAGTAGAGCTGTTAGATAGATCTGAAGTTGCTGTTTGTGTAAACACACGAAATACGGGTTTTCTTCTTTAGCATAGTGCAAAAAGTAGTCTTAACACCAGTGCTTAGAATAAGGGACTTGGCCAGTTTCACAGCAGACACTTCTGCATCAGTTTTGCTTTGTAAGATGGGAAGGATGCCTACTTTGTGAAACACTTGTGATATAAAGAAGATATTTGTGTGTTAGTGAGTATTCAACATTTATGTAAGCATCCATTTAGTGACTGTTGATTTGACCAGTTAAAAAACCAAACCAGCCCCCAACATAACTTGGTGCGAGCTCCTGAACTTGAATATCACCGTGTGATAATCTGCAAACCTCAGTGCTGAGCCTCTGTCTGCCTTGGAGGGAAGTGAAGGTGCCAGCATTCCTTATTCTGCTATGTGTTCTCTTCCAAAACTGCTTCTTAAAGCTGATTTTACCCAAACCTGTTATCAGGGATCAGTTTCTGCACTGATGAGTTTTTGGGGTTCTTAGGTTTTTAGGTTTCCATTTTAGGTTCCCAAAAGCTGTAATTCCTGCAGCAGAAAGTTTGGTATAAGAAGTTGCTAAGAAGTGTGCCCAGAGATACATCATGATGTAGTAAATGCATGTATTTGTTAGCGTGGATATTTGTGAGATTTTATTGGTTTTCTTTAGTTCTGTAGTACTAATTTCTGAAACTAGCATGAGATACAAGGAGTTCAACGTTGGGCTTCTGATAAGCCTGCTTATGCCTTAAATATCCCCTGTTCTCATTGTGTAAAATCACTCATCTCAGAGTCGTTTAGTATATGAAACAGTAAAGGCTGTTATAGTTGCAGGAGAATTGGGAGTCCTCCCCGATTCTCTCCATGAGTTCTGTAGAGGACAAATTCCTACTGATTCAATTACAGCCTCCATTCTTCTGATCTGCTTGGGTGAGGATGGCTCCAGCAGTGGCGCCAGGCAGTCGCTGGGTTGGCTCTGGCAGCTGAAGTCCTTGGAGGCAAAAGTCAAAGACACCTCAGCATGTGAGAAACAGATAAGATTGTGAGATTTGCATACACACATAATCTGACTTTTAGTGAAGTGATTGTTAAATGTGCAGCAAATTCCAAAGGGTTTTGATACCTGAAACTGTTCCAAGCGATAGCTTTGTTAAACCGTAATCTAGTTGGAGCCCTATTGTTCTAATGTGTGTTTGTGTAAGATGTTCTGACCAGTTCTTCTGTTAATGGTTCTCACCATTATCTGTGTTTTCTCAGTGGAACCTGAAGCAGTGAGCACAGCTCCCAGCCCCCCAGGCCCGACACAGCTTGTTTTGCACATACCCTGTGCTTTGAGTACATGCTGCTTATTGCAGCAGGTACAGTGGGAAGGAATTAGTTCTGCTGCTTATTTCCCCAGGGAAAAACCTTGCTAGGAATAGGAATACTTCAGTGAGATCCTGCTCTGTGCTTCCCCACATCTTTGTTTTTCAGATGCTTAAGGAGGTGAGGTGTCTTGCTAGAAGATCCGTGATCAGAACAGCTCTCTGGATTGCCCCTGGTTCCTTCCCTTTCTGTAACTTCTAAATGAACGACTTCTGTCTGCAGGACATGCAGTAATTCTTTCTACTGCACCACTGCATTTTTTGCTCTGTGAACACCCACTCTAATGTTTGAACTTCTAAGGTATTACAAAAACACCCGAGGAATTTACACAATCCAGTCCCTGTCAGCCTGGTTAACCTTGGCTATATTCTTCCAGTTCCTGGGTGTAGGTTCACTGTCCTGTGATAAACCAAGTGTGAGAAGATGCAGAGGCTGTGCATGAACTGGGAAACACAGCAGTGACTGGTGAGGTGTCTGCTGGGTCACACTGCTTGAATTTCAGCATTGTTGATAGATAATTTCATCTAAGCAAAGAAAAACCTCCTGAGTTTTCATTGCCTTTCTGAAATAAGCTGGTTTTCAGAGGATAATTATGATGTATGTACTCCTCCAACTGGAAATTGCTTTCCAGATCAGCAGTTCTTACTCATTTTACTTATGCAGGTTTACTCTCAGTTTACCTACCCTTTCACTGTGACTTTTGTAAAAGAATTTTGTTTTGCTGAAGTTGGGTGCCTGTATGCATTTTAATCCCTAATGCAATTGAAAACCCAGCCTGGATGCTGATGGTTGAGGTTTGCAGTTATCCCCAATGATTTTAATTAAGTTAATGTGCAATGCTTAATATTGTGGGTACTGCGGTACATTATTTCTTACTACACTTGGCTTTTCAGTACAGGTGATATACCCTGTTTCTATTTAAAATCTATAGAAGACAAGAACATGTACATGCAGCTTCTGTTGTGCAATAAATTATACTGAAAATAGCTGGGATGTGGCTGCAGCTGCTGCTCTCCCCTTTCTGCTCTGCGTGATTTCAGTGTGCCTTCCATGCCCACACGATAATTACGGTATCGGTCACCCTTCCAAGTCTTCCTTAAGGCCACCAGCCAGCAGCTCATCAGCACTTCCGTGACAGCTGGTCCTCGCGCACGATGACTGCAATCTGACCATCGGAGTTCTGCTTCCTTCCCCCCACGCCCAACCGTACGCGTGAGACAGCACCGAGCAGCGCAGTTCTGAGCAGCTCTCCGCGCTCTAAGAGCAGCTCAGTGTCAGGGTTGGGGCTGCTGGCTGTGGCTGGAGCTGTTTGCCATTTCCCCAGCCCTTTCTCTCGCCGTCCGTTTCTCTTACGCGCTCAGTCCTGCTCGCCGCTCGCGCGTCACGCCGCCAGCACTCACACCTCAGCCCGCCTCCCTCGCCCCGCACGGCCCCGCCCCGGAAGTGACGTCAGCGCGCTTCCGCGTGCGGCCGCCGAGCGGAAGAAGCACCGTGCCGGGAGCGGAGCAGCGCGGGACGCGGGGACGGCCCCGCCACCGCCCGGGAAACGGTGAGCCGCTGCTCGGCCCTGCCCCGCTGCTCTGAGGGGATGGAGCCGGGCGGGTCCCTCCTAGGCAGCCTCTGTTTCTCCGTCCTGCTGAAGGCCCGGGTCTCTGTGGGTCGCGGGGCTGCGGCTGGGCCCGCCGGTACGGCCTGACAGCTCTGTGCGTGCAGCTCCGTGGCACCGCTCATCTTTCTCCTTTACCCATTCTCTTTGTCCGGGTTGCAGCCGTCGTTTTGAACTTCGCAGATCTCTCCCCTCGGCCTCTTCCCCTCTTCCTCTGTTTGTTTCCTCTTTTGGCTCCTTATCCGTAAGCATTCCCATAACATCAAAGTTCTTGAGGCTGCAGCCGAGCTCCGCGGGGCTCTGCTCAGTGCCCAGCTCACCGCCTAGGAGCGGCCGCAATGGGGTGAGGAACCGGGAGGTGAGAGACGTGCCCAGGTGCTCAGCCTGCCTTTGTGTGGGGCGCTGAGTCAGCCGGGCAGGTTGTGGCAGGCAGAGCCCGGTCGCTGATGTGGGACGGGTGGAGTGTGATGCCGAGCTGGTAGAGTTGCACGGTGTTGGAAAAAGGGGTTCCTAATGGCAGCTCTGTTTTAAGTCGGTTAGTGACACTGTTCTGCTTTGCTCTCGCTGTTGAGAATTTGTCTTTGAAGCATTGCTGTGTGTTGGCAGCTCCTTATGTTGGTGTCTGGGGTGTGTATGGAAAAAAGCCCTTGGCTGTCCAGCTTGCTCGCCTAGGTCACCTTCCAGGCAGCCGGTGACTGTAAGCTTAGCATGGCAGGACAGCTACTGTAGCTTTGTGCACCTGACAGTGTTCTTGGGCTGCATCAGAAGAAGCACGGCCAGCAGGTGGAGAGAAGTGATCCTGTCCCTCTGCTCTGCTGGTGAGACCTTGCCTGGGGTGCTGCATCCAGGTTTGGTCTGCTCAGGACAGATATGGGACTGTTGGAGTACATCCAGAGGAGGGCCACAAAAGTGGTCCAAGAGGTGGATCAGCTCCCTGTGAGGACAGGCTGAGAGCTGAGATGTGCAGCCTAGGGGAGAGAAGGCTCTGGGGTGGGCTGAGAGTGGTCTGTCAGTATCTAGAAAGGGACTGTAAGGAAGAAGGGGACTGACTCTTTAGTGGAGTCTGTTGTGATAGGACAAGAAAAAAATGGTTTCAAACTAAAAGAGGGGATATTTACACTGGGTATGGTTTCAAACTAAAAGGGGGTATTTACACTGGATATATGGGAAAAGTCTTTTATTATAAGGCTGATGAGGCACTGACACATATTGCCCAGAGAGGTGGTGGATGCCCCATCCCTGCAGACACCCGGGTTCAGGCTGGATGGGGCTCTGAGCACCTGATGGAGCTGTGAGTTTCCCTGTGGGACCAGATGGCCTTTAAATGTCTCTTCTGACTCAAATGATTCTGTGGTTCTTTGACAGTGCATGGCAGGAACAGCCCTGCCTCGAGGGCCATACATGTCAGCCTTCTGGACATGGCTGCACAGGTGTTTTGCAGGGGAAGACAAAGTTGAGAAGGCCATTGTAGCTCAGATGATGTTTCACTGACCAAAACCCATCAAAACAACATGCAATAAGAGAAAATAATAGGAACGTGAAGCCAATTGTATCAGTTCATAAGATCATTTTGCACAACGAGCAATTACTGTGTGAGGTGATCTCACGATTTTCGTTGAGAGAAGAGCAGTCTCACTTCTTAACTTGTATCCAGTGGTTTACGTGCAGTCAAAATAAGCAAAGTGTGTAGAAGCTGGTAGCTGCTATTTCTGAGAAGTTTTAGAAGTTCTGGCTCATCATTCATTACTTGAATTCCCAGCTTCTTGTGATTTCATTTAAAAGTGCCATTATGAGTCACGTGGATGTGGTGAGTCTCAGTCTGGTAATTCACGAGCACATGCTCCTCCTAGCAGAGCAGTCATTGCTATGGGCAGAATTTGATTTTGATGTGGGCAAGTAAAACTGTAGCCTGAGGTCGGTATTGATGTTGGAGGGGGGGGAAAAGGCCCTGACCAGTCTGTGAAAGTGATCTTATGTTGGAGTAAGCAGTGAGCTCTGTGGGTAGGATGTCGAAGCCCCTCGGCCATTGGACTCCAGAAGTTTGAAGCAGTGATTGCCATTTCCCCTGCCTAATTACAGCCCACATCTGCATGCTCGTTTTCAGGTGGCTGACCAGGCTCTGTGTCTGTGATTGCAGTTAACAACCATTTATTTTCTCAGGAATATTAATCAACAGCCTGCACCATGTATATTAGGATGCAGATGTTACAGCTGAAGTTTCATAATCGCAAGGAAGATGCTCCCTAAATTTGTGAAGACTCAAGCAATCTATTCTGCAAAAACAGATGCTGCATTTCTTTCTGAATTCTGAAGTTGCCTAATGGCTTTTGTGTTCTCTGTTAGATCATGCTGCCCCACCCTTTCCTTTGGAAGAAACTAGCTCATGCTTAATTAGCTTTCTGCTAATTACATACTTGAACATTTCAGGGCTACATGTGATTCACGGCTATTTCAACCCTTAGATGGCTCTGAAGAATTTTGTGGCATTTGGGTCAGCGGTTGTTCTTTGGAATGAGCTCCTGGATGATGGAAGGGAGTGGGATGGGACTCTGGTTTGTTACAAGTTGGTATTTCAGAGTGGTATTCACTTACAAGATCATCTGCTTCTTCAGAAGCCAGTGCTGATAACATTTTGTACTGTTTACCCAGGAAGACGTTTACCATTTCTCTTGCTTTTGAGATAAAGCAGTCTGTCTGTCTGTGAGCACTTCCTTTGGGATGCAGCAATAGCTTTGAAGCTGTTGGCTACGCCTATTATTCTCAGGACAGTTTTTCATAGGCAAAATGTCTCGTTATTGGAGACCTTCACCCCATCCCATCCATCTCCCCTTTGATGCAATGCGGTCCATAAACCAGCAGCCATTACTTTAGGAATTGCTCATTTGGAGACTTCCCGAGCTTTGCTGCTTCTCCTGCTCTAAAATTTCATTCCTGGGATGGCCATTAAAGACCAGGCAGTCAGTGGGCAGTGCTGTGTCAGACGCTCAGAAAACACTTTCTGGAGCACTTTGATGACTTTTTAATGAGAAGAATTAATACGAGTTGTTCACAAAGTGCTGTGGAGACTTAAACTTGGAGAGCTAAATTGCTTTTATGTCTGTCCAGAGAAAAGACTGTATGGCTTATTTGTAAGGCTTATGCTGAGAGCTTTCATGAGAAGCCTCGCTGTCAAGAAATAGAATAAAGTAGAGTAAAATAAAATAAAAGCCACCACTTTGATTTGCAGGGTTTACATGCAGAGTTACTTTGAAGCTGTTATTCATAGCCTGTCATAATTGTAAATTGACTTGCAATTACATCTTAATGAAGGCACTGTAGATGAAATGAGGCCTGCTCAGCTCTGCTACGTGAGCCTTGCCAGCTCCAGCTTCCATCTCAGGTAAGCAATCCAGGGCTAATGAATAGTTTATGAAGAAGTCATTACCTCGTCCACATTGGCAGTAAAGGTGTCTGCTCACCTGCTCAGTGCCTGCGAGCTGAGGTTGGTGCACGTTAAGAGAGCAGCAAGAGAAACAAGCAGGTGGTGTTGGAGCTCGTGGTAAATCTACAGCATGGCTAAACCTCTCTGCACAAACAGTGCGCTTCCTAAAGCCACAGCTCTGCCTGCAGCCTTCGTAAAATCTAACATGGTAGGAAAATAATCTTGGTTTTACTGCTGAAAGGGACGTGTTACATAAGTGGAATCTTTCATGTGTGCGTTAAATCAGTTCTTGGTGACAGATCCTATTTTTTCAGTTACATAAAGGCTACGAGCACGTTTGCTCTGCAGTGACTACAGCACTGCTCTAACAAGTTCACTGTGAGTTTTTCCAGCTATTTTGTAACCTGGTCTGTGTGGATAATTAGGAGACAGCCTCTTGCTGTTGTTGAGAGCTGTATTGCTGCTCCTTGCAGTCCTGCTGTGGGACACTGACAGAGATGGCCTGAAGATCTGTGGGCTCACCATTGAGGGAGAGAGCACAGGTGTGTGCTGTGAGCAGGGTGCTGCTGTGCTTTGCTGGCTGCTAAAGGTTCCCTTTCGATGACAGCGGGTATTTCCCAGTGTGTGTAGGTTGCAGATAGCAGGTTGTAAAGGCTGCCTGAAGACTGAAGGCTTTGATGGAATCCCTTTGTAGACTTGGAGTTGTTCTTACAGCATCTCACGAGAAAATTAAGCTCGTGAAGCTGGAAATCCTTGAAAGGCAGAATGAAAGTGTTATATTGAGCATCAGTACTCGAGGTGTGCTGTTGTACTTCAGGTCAGCAGAGAATATGTCATAAAAGAAAAGCAGAAGCAGCTCCCTCCCTTCCATCCCCAACACATTCCAAGCAGCTTTGGTGCTTTGGTTCTTTTCCTTCTGCAGTGCTTCTACCAAAATGCAAGTTTTCTGTGTTCCACTGTTTGTGTTTTCTTAGCAAATCTTCACAGACAGACTGAGCAGTGTGTCTCAGGGCAGTGCAACACAGATAGTTGGTTTTTCTGGTTTTGGTTCATGTCTGCTTCTATGCTTTGTGGCGACCGAAACCCTCTGTCGTTTCCCCAGATGTTTTCACTTGCAGCTATACAAAGGCACAGAGGAACTGCTGGGCAGACAGCTGGCCTATCCTCCATGAATCACAAAAGTTTCCATTTTCTGAAGAAAGAGCAATGTATTTTTGGATGACAAACTTGACAGGAGACACTGAGGGGTGTGAGGAGATGCTGAGACCTCTGAGCCAGTATTGCACTCTGAAAGTGCTTGCTCCAACTATGCCAGTGCTCAAAGTACTGCTGAATGAAAGGAAAAAATAATGGAGGTTTAATAATAACAACGTGACACAGCTTGGATCACCAGGACCCCAACTGCACTGCTTGATGTCACCCACGATCCTCTGCTGCTCTGTGATCCTGCTTGATGGCAACTGTTATTTCAGTGTGGAGATTTGTTGCTTTCCTTACTGTTGTTATGCCGTCCTCCCAGTGCTCACGCAGACCAGAGGCAGCTCAGCATTGCCTCCCCCTCTGGCTGCTGAGAACACACTGGGTTGTGTTACTGAGAACATCCAGGGCACGAGCGCAAAGATGAGGTCTGGCCTTGCAAATACATCAAGCAGCTGGTGTTTGAATGGAGTGATATATATCTAGCTGGAGGAGAAAAAGAAGGGACTAGGGAGCATTTTGGATTCTCAGAAGCTCCAACAAAGCTTTTTTAGGAATGGTGTAAGATGGTAAATGATGCAGTGATTCGCTTGTAGGAAAACTGATGTGGGGTGGATTGTTCATAGTCAGTTTTAAGGCTTAATAAACTTGTTGTGCTGACATGCCGAACTTGGCTGTGAAGCCTTTTTTTAATGGCCTTATGTCTTTAAAGGAAGAAAGGCTGTGCTCTGAGTGCAGCATGTGATTTCTTCCTATTGATTCAGGGTGACCTCCTTCGTCCCTGGCTCCAAAACTGATGTAATTGCAATTTAAACTACTTGAAGGGGAAGAAAAAGAACAGGTTGTTTGCTAGTGCCTTGGCCTTCAGCTTTGTAAAAACCCCTCCAGAAAGAAGGCAAAAAAACTGCATTTCACCCCCAAGAGCCCACGTTGCTCCCTGCAGTGTAAGCTGCTGAACTTTGATTGTTCAGAGCACTGTTTTCAGTCCCAGTGTAGGAGAAGGGTGGGATGTGAAAGGTAACCTCAGTGCTGGTATGTGGCTCGAGCCCTGCAGGTGATGGGAGCTGATTTGTGCCTGTGGGGTGGTGGAACATCCAGGTGCCCGAGGCATGATGCTGCTCATTAGGAACAGCAAATACTTGAATTTGTGGAAGTGTCCCCGGAACGGAGTTGCAGAACTGTAGTAACTTGCTCCTTGTTGGTGGGTGATGAGGTCAGACAGCATTTCCTTGAACGATAGAGATGTGTGTACATTTCTGTGATGTTGTGTTAGGATTTATGTGGCATGTGTTGATAGCTTGCTGCAGCTCCGGCCCGTCAGCCTTACCATTCATGGCAGTGTGCACAGCTGCACGTGTGGTGGCTTTGTGCTTTGCTTTGTTCTCATCTCAGGCATCTGCTTTAGAAGTCTGTGACCAAAATGCTGCAGCACCCTCAGCTTTGGGAAGCAATGTTTAACGTGCAGGTCAGGAGCAGCTGTGGAAGTTGCAAACCCTCACCTCCCTGTAAGGGTGTGTGTGGCACTGAGAAAGGGCTGTGCTTCCAGATCCCAACACCATGCCATTTCCAGCCTGTTATCCCAGTGAACTTCAGGTGTTGCAGCTGACAAAACTGTGATTTCTAATTTCTGGTCTTTGTTAAACAGTGTTCTGTGCACCATCAGCAAGAGGAGCAATGATTTGAGGAAGGAAAAAATGGTGGTAGTGCAGAAATGAAAACATTTTGGGAAAGGCAGTGGGAGATGGAAAGCTGTCTGGAATGTTTAAAACTGGTGCTTTCCTCTTTGGTTTGTAGGAATGTATTGATTTCTGCCTTAGGCATTTCTGGGAAAGACAGGGAAGGAAAAGGACCTGTACAGCTACTGGGTCTGTGTAAGTAAATGAGAAAACTTGTCTTTAGAAATAATGTCGTTGTGAAATTGATTCTTTTGATCAACAGAATCAATTTCACAACGTTATTTCTATTATTTTGATAAACAGATCCATCCAATGATGTTTAGATTACTTTAGAAAGTCATGACTTTTTTTCAAAGATAATAAGATGCTGAAAGAGGGAACCTTAATCCTTGCATCCTTGGATGAGATGGAGAATTTAATTTGTTCGTACCTCAGAGAAAATCATACATTGCTTAAAATAACTTGTTTAGGTTAACAGGAAGCCTTAAACATGATGAGTCTTTAAAAACAGTTGATCATCTTGCTGTCGTTTCCCATAATGGAAATCTGCTACTGGCAGCCGTGCATCTCTCTGTGTGTTTTGCTGGATGGCCCAGAGCAGAGCTGAGGGATCTTCCTGAGGTGCCGAGTGCCAGCACTTCCAGCAGTGAGTAACCTTTGCTGGGCAGAAATGCAAAACCAAAGGGAACCACATTCTTCAAACACAGGAGCATTAAATCTCCTTATGAGCCTTGGGGAGAAACAAGATTCCTTCAGCAGTTGCTGACATTGTTTATTTTAAGATTACTTTTCATCTCTCTTTCCATGCGCCGCGTCTTAATGAAAACACAGCACACCTTCCACGTGGTGCCCTGATGTTCTGCACGAAGGGAGCATGTCCTGGAGGCACTGATGGCCGTGTTGGACACGAGGCTGTGGGCAGCCTGATGGAGTGCTTGGCAGCACTGCCTGTTGCAGGGGCTTGGAACCAAATGATCTTTAAGTCCCCTCCAACAGAAGCCACTCTGTGATGCGAGGGACAGCTTCACTAATGAGCGTGAGAGCAGGAACCCAACCTGCTGAGATGCTTCTCCAGCATATGTGAGGCACTGTTGTGGATGCAGGAGTGAGAAGGGCAGGTTTGGGAGGCTGAGACCTGCCCTGCTGTGCTGCACTATTCCTAGTTTCTGTGCATGTCAGTATTGCAATTCAAATGGTTTATCATGCAGGCCATAAAACTTGCTAGGGCAGGTGGTCGTGTGCTGCCTTTATCCTAAAATGAATCCAGCATTTACAATTGGTAGTTGAAGTGCCCCTGGGACTGAGCTGGCAGGTGGGAAGGTTTCTGTCTGGAGGAAAAAAAAAAAAAAAAAAAAGAGCAGGGCTGCAGAGCTGCAAAACAAATCATTTTCTTGCAGTCTCTATATATAAATGCAGCAGAGTTGCACTGGCTCAGTTCTCTTTGGTGATGGCAGCTGTCATTCTGTTTGCCTCGGTTGTTTGTGCCTCTGGTTGTCGGAAGGCTGTGCTGCTGAGCTCAGAGCAGCGTGCCTTTGCACACACACGTGCCCATTGCTGCAGGGCTGGCAGTGCTGGCCTGCTTGTCACCCAGCTGCAGAGCACTGTTTACAGGTCACAGCTATGCAAACGTCTGCTATTGCTGCAGTTGGCTTTGTGTGCTTATATAACTGCGCCTTTCCTTCTTTAGAATTTATTTTGTTACTATGGAACTAATTGTTCAATAATTAAAAGGGGTGACATCTTTCTAAGAGACAAGCCTGCAAAAGAAACTGGTTGGAGCAGGTTATTGCTGATTCTGTCTTTAACCATTTTCTCTTTAAACAGGAAGAAAATGAGCCTGAAATCTGAGCGCAGAGGAATTCACGTTGATCAGTCAGAGCTCCTGTGCAAGAAGGGATGTGGTTACTATGGCAATCCTGCTTGGCAGGGCTTCTGCTCCAAGTGCTGGAGAGAGGAATACCATAAGGCCAGGCAGAAACAGATCCAAGAGGATTGGGAGCTGGCAGAGCGGTAAAGAGCCCTCTTTATTCCTTTGTCTCTCACAGTAGGGTGACTTCACTAAATGCTGTCCCTGTCTCGTGTTTTCTGGTGCTGTTTGCTGTGGCTTTTTCATCACCAGTTCTCGAACTTGACCTTTCCAGCAGGAATGAAAGCCTTCCTTTTGATACAAAGATGAATTTTGGTGATGTTCTAGTTTAAGACATTTCAAACATAAGTCTGAAGTAAGAAATGTAAACACCCCCCAACTTCTCAACAAATAATTTGACCTAATTTGCATACTGAAATCTGCAACTCTAACTAGCAGTTAGAAGGGTGAAAGTGACAACTTTGATTAAAATACTTCTGCCTCTGGAGACAAAGTTACTGTCTTGAACACAGCCAGCACAGTGGTTCTGTGTTCCAGCTGCTGCTTGAAAAATAGCTTGTCTCATCTGTGGTCATTCTGTTAAACTGCAAAGTTAAGCCCAGAGACATCAAAGCTTTTGCTTTATTAACTTGAGCAATACTAATTATTTGAGTAACCATTCATGAGGAAGGTGCTGAAGGAGCAGAGAAGCTGCGACTGTTTGCTGCAGTGAGCAGACAGGCTTCACAGCACAGATGAGATGCAGTTCCTGCTTCCAGATTATATTATGCAAGGTCATTTATGGGCTATTCTGAGTTGGATGGGAGCTTGAAGATGCTCGACCTTTGAGCAGCATGAAGAACAATAAATTTGACCCATTTAAATCATTTTGCATAAGAAAAAGAGTAGCTGCTGAAGGATTAGTATGTCTCCCCCCCTTGTATATTAATAGGGGCTTTGTCTTTGCACAACACCTATTCGTGCTGCAGTGAAGGGCTTGCCTCATTCATTCAAACAAGTGTGTGTATTCGGAAGACTTTGAAAGCAAGTTTTGACAGCAATAATCTGTTTCTCAGAGCATTTTTGAGATTGTGGCAAGGTATTTCACTTCCTCAGCTGTGTGCCATGGTTTATCTTCAGTCAGATGATAAAGGAAGATGACTGACTGTGAATGGAAGCGCACAGTAACGGCTGACGAGAATGGAGGAGTTGTCTTAAGACAGCCAAGTCATATTTGGGGTTGAAAGGGATTGAATGTCAATTGGAAGCATCTTAAAACAAAAAGTAGTTCTGGTGATATGCAGCAAAGACCCCCAGCCTAGGACGTGGGCAGGAAACTTACTTGGAGGATTGTTGGAAATGCTTCCATAGTCTTTCCCTTCATCTTTACCTCTGCTTCAGCCTCCTTCCTTTTGACATTTTCCCCTCCCTATTTTCAACCTTCATTCACTTTCCCCATTACAATGTGGGAATGAATTCAGTGTAGTGAAGGGGTGTGTGAGAGGAAGCTAGAAATGAAGGTGAGCATAGAAGAGAATTGGTGTGTCAAAAGACTAATTAATTTACTGCACAAACAGTTAACTTATTTGTGCTGGCATTAACCAGTGAAATTGGACTGATGTCTTTCTAATCCCAGGCTGCAGCGTGAGGAGGAAGAAGCATATGCCAGCAGTCAGAGTACCCAAGGGGCGCAGTCACTGACCTTCTCAAAGTTTGAGGAGAAGAAAACCAATGAGAAAACACGAAAGGTCACAACTGTGAAGAAGTTCTTCACTGCTTCCTCCAGAACAGGAGCTAAGAAGGGTAACTTTTTCGTTTCTAATGATTCCGTGCGTGTGAAGTCAAAAATGATTTTTGGCAGATGTACTGTCCTGAAAGCAGTGGAATGCTCTGTGGCTCTAAAACGTTGGAATAATTATGCTGTTTGGGAGCATGTGACATCTTAGTGAAAACACAGAAAAACGTGAGCTTGTAAGTGATGCTGAACTACGCTGCTGAGTGGAAGTGTTGCACGTGATGCACATTTCATATGAGAATATTGAGTCAATCACTGTGTGATAGTATGGTTTAAGACTTGTAGATGAAACATTCTGTAAGAAAACAGAGAAAAGGTACTGACTGTCAGTCAGGTGGAGCAAGCTAGTATGTGTAAGTGCCATAGAAATGCTGATACAAAGCATCAAGTGATGCTGCTCTAATTTATCACTTCAACATCTTTAAGAGGAAAACTGGAATGTGATGTCTTTAAATGAAAGGAAACGTGTAAGGAAAGTTGTGGTATTTCTGCATATGTGAGTTGTGAATATCAAGTTTGTGAAAGTCTGTGCTGGAGCAGATGTACAAGTAAGTGTAATTGGTCACACCATGCCATCCCCCAGCAGTACCTTGTAATGGCCAACATTTTATACTATTGGACTGTTGAGGAGGAATTCCAGAAGGAAAAAAAAATGACATTAATGCATCTTAACCTGATAGGTGATGCATTTCCTTAGGAACAAGTCTTAAATGTGTCTTCATTTCATCTTAGAATTTGTCTTGCAAATATATATATATGCATATGCATGTTTATATATATATATAAGCAGCAGATTGCTAAATGAAGCATTCAGCTATGTATGGAAACCATTTTTTTTACAGTCATTCTTCCCATTTCCCATATTTTTTTTTTTAATCCCATTCACCATCTCTCATGTTGTGCTCCTGCTCTTGGTGTCTTGCTTGATTTTGCATCTATTTCAGTGGCTCAAGAGAAAGTCGTTAAGCAAGGACAGCTTGGGAGGGAGCGAAATGCTGATAACATTCTAAGGGATTTGAAGGAGATTTTTACTCCCTCCTGGGAACTGGCTTCCCCTACTGAAGGTAACGCAGCACAGCTTGAGCAAGCTGTCTGCTTGGTTGTAGAAAGCTTACTCTTTAGTTGGGCTTTGCAAAATACCAACTAGGGTTGTGCCAGTTATATCTTGTGCTGCTGGGTACAAAAGGCAAGTCTGGAATCTTCAGCTGAAGCTTCTTTCTGCTCCTTAGTTTGATATCTGAAGGATTATGAAGTTTCAGAAAAAGAATTTTTGGAAGAAGTTCTGGGTCTTGTGCTGCTTTGTGTTTTTATCCAAAAAAAATAATTCCAGGCTGCCTTTATAAATCTGATTATGAAGTACTTCAATTGAAGAATTCACACTTCAAGAACTTTTACAATCTCACAGCATCTCCAGATGTCTGTCATTAAGAAGACAGTTTCATATCACGAGAACATTCTGTTGTTTTTTTTTTTTAAACAGAAAAGCATCAAAACCTCTGATACTGACAGCTCTTCAGGTTTTGTCCTGTGTTACCTGTGTGCACTCTTGTCCTGTTGTGCCTACTGAACAAAATTGAAGGTGTTCATGCCTGTGTTTTACAAATTACATGAAGATTCTGAATGCATTTGTGTAGTGAAGCTGATAACACACACTTCACGTTCTTTACTTGGACTCAGATCCACAACATGGCACAACCATAGTGAATCATGGAGTGCTGATGTTCTGCTGTGACAATTAGCATTGTAGTAGAATGCCTTGAAAGGTTTTAATATAAATGATGTTTATTCTTTGTAGAAGATTATCCTTTCTTAATTCTTCCTGAACTCTTCCATTTTGGCATATCTCCTCTAGTCGGTTCTCTTGTTCAGATGGAATCTCCCTCCTGCAATCTGCTGCTTTGTATTTCAATTTGATTCTTGGACAAACTGTGACAAAGCTGAAAACATTTTGTTGCTGGAGCTACACTGGTTCCTGCAGATTCATTTTCCATAGATCAAGGTTTCAACACAAATCAGTGAAGCTGAAGTATTTGAGTAGCTACATGGAGTGCTTGTGGCTAAGGCGGTTCATTCTGACACTTGATTTTCTTGCTGCCTCTATTAGCAGCAATCTGCCTCAGTTGTCTGCATCTCTCTGGTCCCGTTTTAAATCTGCAACTGAAAAATTCATGTCTATATTCCTTAAGCACAAATAGCAGAATGAGGTTTGTTATTTTTGTGATATAGTGAGGTCACTGTTGAAATAAATGAAAGAACTGCTGAAGGTTTCTTTTCAATTAAACCACTAATTAACTGTCAAAAATAACTTACAATTCTGTCCTTTCAAAGGTGGATCTACTTTTTTTGTTTATTATTTTGAAGAGATGTTTTCTATTTGCTGGTTGTGAAATATTAAAAGTGACAATATTAAATCAATAGTAACTCTTGAACACAGTACAGTCATTACACTTTGCATCTTAGTTAAAAAGACTGGAGTAACTCCCTCTGAAAAGGTGTTGCAGTATAACTATAAAGGAGAATGATTTGCACTTCTATCTTCATCACTACAGTTGGAATTTAAATATATGTGAAGCCTTCTGCATTCTTCAATGCTTAAATAACATAAATGCTCTGATGGTGCCTGTCCAAATCATCATCCAGAGAAGGCTGTGCTGAAGCCTGGAGGCCCTAAGCAAGCCTTGTGCTTTGGTCAGGTGATACATGTTTGTTAGTCATTGAATCACAGAGCTCTGAAACACAGCAAACAAAGCAACAAGCTGCTTCAGTCCAAATTAAACATACTAACTTAAATATGCTAATCCCATCTATTTTCTTTTGCTTTGGAGTTCTGCATGTGTGCTTATTGAAACGAGGAGCTGTTGTTGTGCATGTTAGTATTTCCAGCTTGAAAGATATGTGTGTATCCCATTGATTATGAATATATTTATGTTTTCTGTTTCTTTGCTGCTTGCTATTCATCATGTTCATTTACATCACCTCTGTTCAATCCTTCATTGTGAACAGTGTTGGCTGGCAAGCTGAAAGGTGGGTGAACTAAATTTGGGTAGGAAAGGTACTGGATTGGTACAGTTAACTTCCTTGATAGCATACCTTGCAAAATCAGATGTGTTTGTGGAAGAAAACTGTGCTTGCAGCTATGTAAACCTGTATCCAGTGCTGTGTTCCTGCCTCCTTGAGAGCCAAGCAGATTCTTCCTTGAACAGATGCTTCTGCTTTTGCAGAGATGCAATTGGCCACGTTCTTGTTTGGGCTGCAGGTTTGGCCCCATGGCTTCTGCTGCTTTGTCATAGAGGGGCTGCTGTGTTTGCACCAACCTCACGCTCCCATTCCTTGTCTTGTGCTGCTCCTGGTGGTAAAGTGGCCTTTTAGTGTGCCAGTTTGGGGCCTAATGCAGCTGGAAAACCCGTAAGAAAGACTGATTTCCAACTAGGATTACTGTGAATTGCTGCTCCCCAAGCTAATGAGCCAATTGAATGAATGCTTGTGTTGATGGAAGAACAGGAGAGGAGCAGGAATTTGAAGGTGAGGGAGAATGGAAATGGGACCATGGCATTAGTTTGAGCTGCTGTGGAATCCCATCAGGAGGCCTTGATCTCATCTGGGAAGGAAAACGTAAGGAACCTGAAAGCAAATGAACACTACAGTAGTTTGCTAATATAAAAGGCCATTTGTTTAATGGGTATGTGGCTGTCAGTGTTTCACTTCTCTAGCACTGAGTAGCTCTCTAATTTCTGAGTATTTCACTGTTCCATTTAATAATATCCCACCATTTCACTGCTAAAATTCGAGAAATGGAATGGTTTCTTTCAACTGCAAGATTGAAGGGGAAAAGAAATTCTGAAAATGTAATACATATTAAATGCCTTCTGAATTCATACACTGGTGTGAAAAGGTTAATCTGTTGTGTCCAAACTTTCCCAGCAGAGATCCAAGAAGCCAAAGCTCCCAGCCCTTCTATAAACAGGCAGGCTAGCATCGAGACAGACCGAGTATCCAAGGAATTCATAGAATTTCTCAAGACCTACCATAAACCAGGACAAGATATCTATAAGCAATGTAAATTATTTTTAGACACAATGAATCATAAAAGGGTAAGTGATTTGCATGCCTTTTACATAAATAAAATGGGGAAACGAGGGAGAAATTGAGAAAATGCTGCACTTCTTCCAGTAGTTTTTTATGTATCATGTTCAGGAGTTTTAAGCTGATGTGCTTAGTCAAATGAAGATGTAGTGGCAATCTTCAGTTCTGAATGCACTGCTTTTTGTAGGTTTGATATGTTGTGTGCCCCAAAACTTCACTGTCTTGGGTACCCTAAGGGAGGTATGGATAGATCTGTAGTGCCACCTATGGTTGAAACGAGTCAGTATTCAGTACTACTTTTTTTCCCCTACCTTTTCTACTTAATAAGTAGCTGCTCATATCCTCAAATTCAACTGGAAATTAAAAGGGAATTCTGAAGGAGCCTTACATGCCCTCTGTTTTGAAAGCATCTTAATTTTTTTTTATTTCTTTACTTTTAGAACTGATTCATTCTGAACACAGAGTTTGTGAAAATAGTGAATTATTATTAGTTTTAACCACTTGAGTTGCTCTTAACCGACCTGATTCCTTGACAGCTTGTGCTGGTCAAGGAAGCTTCTCAAAACTTAATTTGCTGTTACATATGAGCCAGGTATGAAAGGCAGCACTACTGTCAGAGCTGAGGCATCATCATGTTCAGGCTTGGGTTTGGCCTCAGTTTTCTCTGCATTTGTTGTTGCTAAGTTATGGTATTGTGCTCCCGTTTAGTAGGGAAAAGTGGCTCAGTGAGTAATGTTAATTCTAACCCTGTAGTAGGACAGGATTATTTCACAAACATTGTGAATAAATTTCATAGTAACTTCATTAGGAGTGTTCACTGTACAGACATCCTTTGAAATTTATAATTTACACTCTTGTTTGGTTGTTTTTCTTGGTGTATTGCACATCATTTTTGAAAAGTTAGAGACAGAATCGAGAGCAAACATTCTGCTTTAATAGTCTGCATTCTTAGCATTACTCAGAGATGTGATGGGGGAAATTGCACCTGTCTAGTTTCATTGCTGATATGTATTTTTGCTGAACAGCTGTATAAGCCTTTCACAAATTAAGGAGCCAACCTTAGTTTCTCATGTTTTTGGATGTAATGTAGCCAATGTAAACACCTCTGGGGAGGATATATTTGCATTCTCAGACTGTTATTGCAGCTGGACACTTGCCATCAAAGGCATTGCTGCCATTTCTTCCCCACATGCACACTTAATCAATGTTCTGTTACAGGACTTAAGTATTGAGGAACAATCTGAGTGTGCCCAGGACTTCTATCAAAATGTAGCAGAGAAATTGCAGACACGCTGGAAAGGTATCCATGTTCTCCTTCCTCGTATCTGAGTGCTGAAAAAGTAATAAAGGATAAAACTGCTTATATTTTCAAGTAAAAACAGAGTGTTCATAACCACACCCGATATGCTGTTGATAAATTCTAGTCCCAAAGTTACCTGCTATTCCCTGCAGCACCATTTCTGTAGAGTTTGATGATCTAAATGATTTGTTTTTAAAGGTTTTCTTTAAGTGGTTCAGTTGTTTTAATTTCCTGTTTTCAATTCAGTGGTGTTTGCTTAGAACTGAGGTTGAATGTGTAGCCTCAACCCAATCCACAGGCTGTGGTCACTGCATTGCACTGTGGTGCACAAGGAGCAAATGAGAGGGAAGTGCTACTGTTGCAGCCTATGTTTCTGTGTCTGGAATGTAAGTGGCACATCTTAAACATACTTAAGGATTGCTTTTAGAGGGGTAAACAGGCACAGAGGACCTGGAGGACCTCACTGGATTTATTCTCAAAGACTTTTTCAAGAAATATTCTTGTGAGCTGCAAACAGCTGAACCAAATTAGCAGCTGAGTGCATGTGCTCCACTGTGATCTTGACCTGTCATCGTGGTGCTTTTCCTGCTGCAAAGAGTGGAAATACTCCAAGTCTATCAACTCAAGAACGTTTATATGACTTGGCCCAAGTCAGTAACACTGATTTAGTGGCATTATAATCAAACTGTATGAAATCTTCCAAAGAATCATGGAATACTGTGTTCACTGTACTGGGGTCGGGGGATTTGTACCTTGCAGTGCCACCTGAGAAAGTTGAGAAAGCAATGGATCAGATTGAAAAATACATTATGACTCGACAGTATAAATACGTCTTTTGTCCTGAAACAACTGATGATGAGAAGAAGGATCTCGCTGTCCAGAAGAGGATCAGGTGAGCCTCTCAAAGAAAAACAGCTGGGTAATCCACAGTCTGTCAGAGGGCTCTGAATCAAAAGTGCTGGGAGTTTGTTGCTGTGTACACAAAAGGCTTTTTAACCAGAAAGTGTTGAAAGAACTTTCTTTTAGAAATAGGATAAATGAATGAAATGAGTAATGAATATTACTACACTAGGAAAATGAATTGGTATACTTTTGTAAAATTAAATCAAAAAGGGATTATTATTATTATTATTATTTTTAATAGTAACTTCAGTGAAAGAAGCTTCATGTAATGTCAGCATTCTCTGTGGTGTGTCCAGTACACGTGAGAGCTTTACTGGTAGCACTTGTGAAGAGAATGATGAGCCAGGCTTCATACGTATGAGGGAAGACTTTTAATAAAACCTGTGTAATTTAGAACAAAAGTGGGGAGAGAAAGAGAGAATGCAAGAAAAAATTTCATCACTGGGTTTTGTTATGGTGTTCATGATTAACGTGAATATAATTGTGACTGATTCTGATTTATCTGTATTTGGGGGCAGAGAATTGTTATTTTTTTTAATAGTAACTTCAGTGGAACAAACTGTCTTATAACTGGACTGGTGCCTCACCTCCACAAAGCACTCCTTGTGCATTGAACTCAAGAAGCAGCTGGCTTCGAACACCTGAATGTTACTGGCAAGGAATGGTTTCACTTTTTGTTTTTGTTGTAGGGCTTTGCACTGGGTAACTCCACAAATGCTGTGTGTTCCCGTCAATGAAGAGATTCCAGAAGTCTCTGATATGGTTGTAAAAGCAATTACAGGTTTGTGAGTGATAACAGTTACAGGTTTAAATTTCAGGTCTCCTGGTCAGAGAGATTTTCTGCTGTCTTCAGAAAGAGGCTCAGGCTTTTAGTTTGGCAGTAGGCTTTGTTATGTTTCTCATAGTTTGTCATCTGTGAAGCAGGAATAACTTTGCACTGAGAGAAGTGTTTAGACTTACCTAATCTATTTGAGATGCTTGGACTCAACCAAGAAAAAGTTGAATAAACAGACTGAAAACCAAGACTCGCAGTTTTCAGTATCGTACTCTACTTGTTTGGGTGACTGATTAAAATGGTTTTAATGATTTGAACAACTTTTGTATCTTACAGATATTATTGAGATGGATTCAAAGCGTGTTCCTCGTGATAAGTTGGCATGCATCACCAAGTGCAGCAAGCACATCTTTAATGCTATAAAGATAACCAAAAACGAACCAGCTTCTGCTGATGACTTTCTTCCAACGCTTATATACATTGTTTTGAAGGGAAACCCACCCCGTCTGCAGTCCAACATCCAGTATATAACACGCTTTTGTAATCCAAGCAGGTTAATGACAGGAGAAGATGGCTACTATTTTACCAACTTGGTAAGTGCAGGACCAGCAGTGACACTTAATACAAGAAGATTGTCTTTTATTTAGATGCAGAAGAAAAGATGAAACAACTCTCCCAATAATACTTAAAGTTATTTAGAGTATAAGAAGCTTTTTTGCTGTGTATCTCCTCTGTCTTCCTTCTTTACTTTCCAAACCAGACAGTGTTTTGCTCTTTGAAGTGTGAACAGTCTGGTGCTAGAACTTCAGTATGTTTTTATCCTGCAAGGAGATAAATGCTTTCTGTTCCTAAAATCCTGGGCTTGGGCACTGCAGATGTTACAGGTGCAGGGTTCCCCATATAAGTCCATGTGATTTCATCAGGGGTTTGCAGAATTAGACTGTGGAGGTAAACAGACTTAAACTTTCTGTAGGAGGCATTTGCGTGTGTGCTTGTTTATGCTAGAAAGAATTGTGATTATGAACTACGTGGCTTCCCTACATTTCATCTTAAAGCAGCTCTCAAAGCAAATATGTAGTTGAATGAGATAGTTGGAATGTTAGGTATTGCTGTCAGTAGAAGTGTGTCCATGAGGTAAGGTGGGCATTCAACGTTCCTTCTTTTAGAAAATGGAGAGAGCATACTGGATCTCACTGCTTGGCTTATTAAATATTAACACAGTGCTTCTGTCCAGTTATCGTGTTCTTTCTCATCCCACTTCCAGAATGCAGTGACCCTGTGGTGGGTGCTGTAAGTTATTTAGCTGAAATGACTGGTGTCTTCCTGCATCATTCTCTGAGTTTGACTTCTTCAAACGTTGGAGAGAAGAGAGAGGCCTGGGAGCTGTCTGATAGAGCTAGCTGTCTGAAAAGCTCCTTAGGAATGATCTGAGGCATAAAATAATCAGTTTTGGGTCTAACAGCAGGATTAAAAAATAGAGCACCCAAGTTCCAGTCTGTAGCTTGCAATGATACTTCTTCTGTTTTGTTTGTAGTGCTGCGCTGTGGCCTTCATTGAAAAACTGGATGCTCAGTCTTTAAATTTAAGCCAAGAGGATTTTGATCGTTTTATGACTGGTCAGACATCCCCGAAGAAGCAAGAATCTGACAGCTGGTCACCCGATGTGTGCCTGGGTGTTAAGCAGATGTATAAAAACTTAGATCTCCTGTCTCAGTTGAATGAGAGACAGGATAGAATTGTCAGTGAAGCCAAGAAGCTTGAGAAAGACCTAATAGATTGGACTGATGGAGTTGCAAAGGAAGTCCAAGATATTGTTGAGAAATACCCATTAGAAATAAAACCAAAAAATCAAGCCTTAGCAGCTATTGACTCTGAAAATGTGGAGAATGACAAGCTGCCCCCACCACTGCAGCCTCAGGTTTATGCAGGATAATAATAGGTGTTAAATTTGAAGAGCATCATTGTTCTCGCCTAGCACTATCTGCTTCTTGGGAAGGGAAGTAAATTCAAGGCTAAAAATCGGATGAGCTTAAATCGATACATTTTTAAAGGTGCATTTTTTGGTTAAGTGTAATAAACTGTATTTATTTTAGTCAATTAGATTTCTATTAGGCTTTTGTGAGTTTTTGAACTGAACTTTAAATTTTCTACACAAATCAGTGTAATTTTTAAGCAACACTAGTTCACTGACATCTTTCCTGCAAGCTTCCTCATAGGCATGCACTTAAACGTTTTTAATTATTAAGTTTAACATAAAGATTTCAAGTTCCAGCTGAAACTTGAACGCTACCGATGTTAGTTTGGTTTATTCTGTAGCTGTAAAGATGAAATGTATCTTGTAAAATATGTACAATTGTAAATAGATTTCAAATCTAATGTCTGAGCTGTGCATGACATCTTGTGTATTAGTGGAAATGAGATGGGTGTGTTCATATTAGCACCTTTTGGTTGAATTGCATTGCAGTCTACAGCCAAGTACACTGTTGGTCTTTCAATAAGCTAAATGGTGTAACTGGTGAATTAGAGAGGGTGTTCTTGTACATGAAGACATCTTCATGTCAGCTTCCTGGTTTTTGGTGGTTTTGTTTTAATTTTTTTTTCAAGTGCCATCTAAAGTATGACATTTCTTCATGTAATGTCAGCATTCTCTCTGATGTGTCCAGTACACGTGAGAGCTTTACTGGTAGCACTTGTGAAGAGAATGATGAGCCAGGCTTCATACGTATGAGGGAAGACTTTTAATAAAACCTGCGTAATTTAGAACAAAAGTGGGGAGAGAAAGAGAGAATGCAAGAATTATGCCCAAAGTGGCTTTCTTTTCTGGCACTGCCTGGCAATTTCCTTCAAATTCCACCATTGCACTGGGTCTTGATTGCTTTTCTGACAATCCTGGTTGATAAATGAGATCATATAATTAGCAGTTGCTTTTTAGCAGAAGGATGAGCCGTGGCTCCGAGCAGAAAAGTGCACTTTATTTTCACAAACCATCACTCTTCTGATCTCCAGTGACCCTAAAATTACCTTGCTAAGCTGTTGAGCATCAAGATAAATATGGCATTATGTCACTACAAGTTCAGATCAGTGAATTGCAAATTAAGAACAGTTCACCAAAAAAGTAACCTCTCGCAATGGAACTTTTTAATGCTAGAGAAACATTTTATATATCATTTTAAATCTCTCAGTTCATCCAGTCTGCCGCGACCTGTCAGCGTACCGAGATATCTAACATAGAGCTGCTTAGCTTGAACTACCCTAAAGCAACATTAAATTCTTAGCAAGGAGGAGGAGCGTACCTACCTCTGTATGTTCCACTGCTCTGCAAACACGTATTTTAGATTTGCACTGCAATAACTTCAGACCAAAACTGTGGTTTGTTCCTTTTTGTCACGTGTCCTCAGCCGTACGAACTGTGCATTCCTCTGGGAGAGAACCAGTTACTCAGAATTCCCCTGGTAAGGTGAAGCAATGAGCTAACCAGACATTCACAGAAGTTGGATTATTTCATACATCCATGTTGTCCACGTTGCCTAGGATCTGACCAGTGCTTACGGTAAATAATAGTGCAAAGCCTTTATTGGGTTTATGAGCATTAGGTGCTAATTTTGATATCTGGGTACGCAGGCTTTCCGGGGGGTGGAAATTAGCTGTTGTGTAAATTGCTATGTTTGAATAAAACTGTGTACGTTACACCCCTGTTAATGAGCTCCTAAAAAATTTCATCACTGGGTTTTGTTATGGTGTTAATGATTAACGTGAATATAACTGTGACTGATTCTGATTTATCTGTATTTGGGGGGAGAGAATTCCTAGTCATTCAAGTGAAGTCTGGGAAACAATGTCTTTTTCTTTGCAGAAAGTTAAGTGGTTAAATACTTTAGATAGACTGACCCAGTGCATTTGTAACTAAGGTATCTCTAATCCATATGCCATCTTGTTATCAAGCCACTGAAGTGGGAGTGGTTCTGGCAAACAAATCCTCCAGATCCCTGTAAGGCAGGTAATGTGGATTTCCATATCCCGGCTGAATACCTTGTCAGTATTTTATTAGGTGACCAACTTGTCTATAGGTAAAACAGTAGTTTGTCTTGCTTAAAAATAAGGTAGTTCAGTCGCTAAAGTAATAACTACAGAATATCGTTGTAGTGTTTGAGATTCAGAATGGGCCAGCTGTTGTGCAGAGTGCTGAGCTGGAGGATGCTGTGTCACCTCACATAAGATGATGATCCCTCTTCTATGCAACACCAGGTGGGCTTGGTGCTCAGTATTGGGCATCACTGTAGTATGAGGTGCTCTGGTCCCACGGATGAGATTGAGACAGAAAGTTCTGTTAGGAAATAGTGGCTATGAACAAGCTGCAAGTGAACAGGAGAGTTTAACTGAAAAAGTGAATTGGCAAAAGGGCTTTGGTAACAGTCACAGCACCAGAAAGTCCTTGTTTTTTCCACAGCCTGCTGCTAGTTCTGTGTTACTGAAAATGAAGACTGTGCGTCTCATTACCAGGAATCAGAACATGCTGTAAGCTACTTTGCATGTGAGCTACCTATTTATTTTGCTGTAGCCTGTTTTGGAGTAGCATTGGTTAATTGAACTGTGCATCTTTGGTTTTGCATAACTGAGTTATGAAATTAAACTGATTCTTCTACCTAGTTATCATGAATATTTCCCCGTCTTGTGGTGTATGTTGTCTTTGTGAGGCTCTTTGTGGGCATCTCGTGAGTCAGGGAAGGATAGAGGTAGACAGTGCTATTTAACAGCAACTTTTAATGAAGTTTAAAATTGTTGGGGGGCAGGAGGCTGTTCCAGCCTACAGCTCCTGAGCTGGGAGTGAGGCAGGGGTCGGCTGCTGCTTCTTCATGTTATCTCCGGTAACGGAGGTAGCATGAAGGGCGACGGCCTGAGGGTGGGCGAGGTGGGCATTGGGAACAATTTCATCTCCAAAGAGCGGTGCTGCAGCGGCACAGCAGCACGGGGAGCGCTTCACCAGCCTTGGAGGCGGTCAGGCACCGTAGGGGTGCGGCACTGAGGGCTGCGGTTCGGTGGCAGTGAGCTCATAGCGAACGGCCCTTTTTTTTTTTTTCCTGCTGGTTTTTGAACGCCTCTCGCAAACCCTCGCTCAGGGCGGGCGGGCCTTGAGGGGAGGAGAACGGGGGAGAGAAGAGCGGGATTACAGGCGGTGTCTCTGCGGGAGGTGAGGACCCGAGCTCCGCCCGCCTCGCAGCGCCGCGAGCCCCGACGCCACGTTAGGCGCTGTGCGGTGGCTCCGCCCGCGCTGAGGCTGAGGGCCGGGCCGCGCACCGTCGCCGCCACCGCCACAATTTTGTCCGCCCCGCGCCGCCGTCGTTGGGGCCGGCCGGGGTGAGAGGTGACGGCTGCGTCCCCGGAAGCGGCGGCGGCAGAGGGAGGAGGAGGCGGAGGAGGCGGGTGTCCGGGCCGCGGCGACGGACGGGAGCGGCCCTCCCCGCCCCGCAGCCCCCCGGCAGGGCAGGGCAGGAGGATGCTGCAGAGCCCGGCCCGCCGCCCCTGAGCCCCGCCGCCGCCTCCGGGCCTCCACCCGCCCGGCCCGGCGGCATCTTCCCCCTTCGGGCGCCGGTAAGGCGGGCTGGGACGGGCCGGGGGTCGGTCGGGCCGTGGGATCGCAGCGGGCCTTCACTACGGGGCACTGTAGATATTTCCGTTTCTGAGTAGCAATTCTTTTGCTATTTTATCTTTTTTTTTTTCCCCTTCCTGTTTCCTTATCGCGTTCTCTGTTTGCTTTAATCTCTATCTGAAGGTTTTATCCCGTTTTAAAAATAATACTTCCCGTGCGGTACGGCCGCTGGGTGTCTGAAGTTCGGATCGAGCAGTGCATCATAAGCACAGAACTGCGCACCATGGGAACGCTTCAGCCTGACAAAGGAACGAGCAGAGCCCAGGGCTCCCTGCCTCCTCTTCCCTTGCGCTTCAAAGCTCTGCCTTCCTCAGGAGATGTCCTGAAATTGCTTCTGCCCCCTGTTATCTGTTTTTCTCTGCCCACGTTCCTGTGAGACAACCCCGTGGCTCTGGGTATGAATCCCTAAACGCTGCTTTCTGCATCCTTGTTTGTACTTTAGGGAAGTTTGATGATGCATAGCATGTCCTGAAATGCGAGTGGTGTTTAAGCCTGGTCAGTCATTAACTTGGTCTTATAACTGTTGGTGTTCTGAGTAAATGGGTGTTGGATGTGCCAGTGCCAGGCTGGGAGCATGGGGTGGCTGTGGGTTCACCCTGTGCCACACACCCACCTGCACAATGGGGGACAGCACTGCCAGCAACCGAGTGGAGATAAGAGAATTCTGAGTCCTGCTCAGAAACTGAGTGCTCTCTGACCCCAGAGTTCACTTCTCCCAAGGAGGATTAAGGCCTCTGAAGCTCTGTTGCTTCCCATGATTTGAGGAGTGGCTCTGCACAGATGAACGTGATTCTTTTCCACTTGAAAGACAAGAATTGAAACAGCAGTGCAGGATTGGCTCTGTGCCGTCTGAGGTTTGGAGCAGGGCAGCAATTGCATGACCAGGTGTCCTTCATGTGGGCAGGGGCTGGGACTGCACGGTCTCAGGGCAGAGCTCCTACCCAGGGGTGCAGCTCCCTTCCCCAGTGAGCACTGCCTGGCAGCTGAACTTCTTTTAGACATGATCCTGTTTTACTAAATGAGCCCCAAGCGAAGCATTAATGAAAACGTTTGGTTTGTTGCTTTTTCCCAGATCTCCTCATGCCGCTATTAGGAGTTTTATTTTTGGAGAATAAAACTGCTTCCCAGGTGTCAGAACTCCCCACTTTTATGTATGGAAAGCTGTGCCCTGGCTGACAGGCTTTGTTGGTTATCCATGTGTAGAATGACAGCCATATTCAGGCTAGTTTGGGTTAAGCAAATTACAGTTATGCTTCTTTGGGTCAGGTGTAGATACCGACACTATATTACTAACCCAGCTTTGACATTTGATATTGCTATCAGCTGTTGCCTACTTGTTTCAGTCCTTTTGGCCATATTTGCATTCTTTTCCCTCACTGTGGCTGCCGGCTCTGCTTCTGCCCTTCTTAGCAGTCAGCGTTACCCTCTGTCCCCATGCTCTGCTTTGCCATTTATTTCCACTAACACCATTTCCGCAGTCATCATTCTTGGGATTCGGGCTGCATACCTGTCTGCTCTCTGTCTCATTACAGTTCTCATTACAAACTGAAGAAGCTTTTTGGGGTGTTCTTACTGAAGAATTCCGTGCCTCATTCCTTAATGTGTAGCCTTAATGAAGTCAACCATTAACCTGTGTACACTGGTTGCTAAACCAGTGTGTATTAAAATGTTATTGAGATTTTAATTGCTTCCTGAGCTGAGCCTTTCTGTGAACTGTGTTTTTTTTGGCTGCCATCAGTACAGTAAACAAAATTTGCTTTCTAATGGAAATTTATAACAACTGCTTCTACTGAGCAGATCCTATACAAATGAATCATTTGCCTTTTGCTTTCCACTCCCAGGCTGTCATATGTAAGAGCTGGGCTAATGGTTGGGCTAGATGATGTTTCTGCTCATTCCAACCTTAATGATTCTGTGGTATATAATTTGTAACATCTAAATTTTAGATGCGAGGACTTTGAAGTTCTATGCTATTTTATGTTATCCTGCTGTTATGCTGCAGTCTGCATGATCCAGACTATAAGTCATGCCGTAAGTCATCACTTTGGCTTCCAACAGTTGGAAGGTTTTAGAGATGCCCAAGCCAGAACTCTTGCATATGAAAACACACTCTTCCCGTCGCTCTGATCATTGGCAGACGGGGCTGTGTTCTGCACTTTGGCAGCAAAATGGCTGTTTTCAGGCAAAAGTTGGGTTTACTTTTTATTTTACAGCTGTTTGGATGAGTAAAAGTTTTAGATAAGTGTTCCTTTTTGTTTTTTAACCCTTCGGCCTTTATTCTGTTTTCTGCCTTTGACAGAAATTACACACAGGAACTTGGGCTTATGAAATTCAGTATTTATTTGAGCCTTCAGATTGACTCCAATGATCGGATCGCTTCCCTTCTCTGCCTTTGTTTTACGGGTGGAGCTGAGATGTTTGCTGGTTCTGTAGCTCTTGAGAATGTTGAAATGTTTAATTGCACTTCAAAACATGCTTCAAGAGGTGGAAAAATACAGTTGGTGCAAGTATGAAGGGTTCGACTCTGTTGAGTCCCAGGATTCTCACACTTCTGCTTGTGGAATGACTCCATTACCACAGTAACATCAGGAAATAATCTCTTTTTCAGCAGTAAGGCTCTCACGGTCACTCAGCGTCACGCAGCATCTTTGGCCTGTGCTCCTCAGTTGGCCGTTTCCATGGCAGAGTTGTGTGCTTCCTTCTTCCTGGGAAAATGTTCCTTTATCAGGAGAGAGATTTACGGGATGGAATAGGTCTGAGAACAAGCAGAGGTTGCCATGAGCCTGCTGAGCTCAGGGTTATTGTGCTTACAGTGATGGAAGGACACCAGGGCATGTGATCTTTTCTCCTGTCCTTGCTAAGGCTGCCTTGCTGTTAGTCTTTTCCTGGCTGAAGAGCCATGCAGTTGTTTGAGTTGGAATGGTCGTCTGGTGCAACTCCCAGAGAAGACCAATGGTGTTTCCTCTGAGGCTGAAGGATGGAAGGAGGGGAGGAGAATCAGCCATTGGGGAAAGCATTGTGTTCAGGTGGATTCTTCAGT